CAAAACGCGTCGCGACAGACGAACGCGTTATACATGATGAACCATGGTGAGCAGCCGATAGGTTACTCCGACCCAACGTCGATGAGTATGTACTATCAGGCTGGGGCTACGATAAATCTCAAAAGAGAAGTACCCAGGGAAGCGAACTCTCACTGTCCGTGTATTCAAAAATTATAGGCCAGTATTATCAACGTTGTAGCCTGCCGCCAAGACCGCTCCGCCAGAGGGTCCGATATCGAGGAATACTCGATGGAACGCACGAAGCCCAAGTCAGGGCTGTAGGCATATTAAAATTGCTTAAAGCGTCCCTTAGCCTCAAGCTTAGTCAAACGACAACCAACGAGGCGACGAGATGCGACGAATCGCCATCAACGCGGACGGGAATACGACTGCCTATTCGCAGTGCGGATCACAGCCAAAGTGTTCAAGCGAGTCAACGAGTCCTCCAACCAAGGGCATTACTCGCGACGAATCAAGATCAGTTTTCGGATCGAACGCAGGAGTGGATCTATTGCCAAATCAGCGAATCAAGTCAACGAATCGCATTTCAGACCAATCAACCGGCTAACCGCCAATCACGGACGAAGCGGGATTTACAAGAAACCAAAACAACCGAACAACAGAAAACCAAACACCCGGAGCGCGGGCTCGCGAAACCAGTCACCGAGGCGCTCACCGAGCACCAAGGTGGCTCGGGGCGAGCCAACCAAGTGGCCTGGCATCGGCCGAGCACCTAGTGGCTCGGTGGCCGAAGCCACCTTGCGGGTGCTCGGCCACCTCGAGCCACAAATGCGTGGCCTCTGGAGGATCTCGAGCACCTCTAGCGTGGGCTCGGCCACCTCGAGCCACAATTGGTGGCTCGAGGACGCCGAGCCACCTCCTGTGGCCTCGGCCGGAGGCACCAAGCTGGCTCTGGCACCACCGAGCCACCAAAGAGGTGGCCTCGGTGGGCGAGCCACCAAGGTGGCGGCCGAGCACCTCTTGGTGGCACTCGCATGAGCGCAGCCACCTTTGAGGTTGGCCGGCACCTTGCAGCTGGCACACGTGCCACACGGCACGGGCACAGATAATGAGGCCTATAAATAGCCTAAGCGGGTTCTTCATTTTCAAAGTTGGAAATTTTGGAGGAGAGCCGAAGCCCTGCTGGATTGCGAGACTCAGAACTTAACAAGATTCGAGCTTTGGGACACAAGGACTTGCTCATCCAGATCTGCTTGCTCAGCGCATCATCAACGTCAAATAAGCAGGTTTTCGAGGCGACGGATCTCAGATCTACGCAGGCCTATTACCTCCGGCCATCTGAAGCTCGCGTGTCTTAGATCCCGAGACTTAGGACTGATTGTTTCCTTTGGGTGAAACAATCTCCCCGGCCCTATTATTTCCTTGGTGAAAATAATACCCGTAGCTACTGGCGCCCCATAGCATCCGACTGGATCTAGATCTCCGGTGGTCCACGGCAAATAACCCCGGCCGCAGGCAAATGGAACCCACATGCCGAGCCGGACCGCCAAAACAGGAGCTCACGATTCGTTCGACAAACAAGGAAACAAAGTTGTAATCTTTCTTTATTTTATTTTTGATTTTCATTGTAACCGGATCTTATAAAAAGACCGGATCTTTTGTAACGATAAAACTGTTGAAAAATAGCAATGGAATCAATGATGAAGAAAACCAACGATTTTTCCCGCGAACAATCTTGGCCGACCACAGTTGGGTAACCGACGATCTCGCCGACAAGCATCGGAGCGTTTCCTCTGAGTAAACATTGCCTTGTTGGCATTTACAGGAGTCACACGTTCGGAATCACACCTTTGTGAGAGTGAAACCTTAACGGGCTCCTGATTTTCTGCACGCATCGCCAAGCGGGCCGTTGCAGCAATCAATTTGCTAGGAGGTTGTGTACGACCCCCAGTCCGGATGTTGGCTCGAAGCTCCTTCAACGATCTGGGGCTTTCCTTAACAAGCGCTTTTCCTCGATTCTCGGGTAGAGCACCGATACGATTGTTCAAAGGATTCCTAAACTTGAGGAAATCTGCGCTGCGGCAGGGATTTAACAGAGGTTCGGGATCTGAAGTTGACGAAGGCCGGAGAGCAACGTCGCCTGCTTTTGCCTTAGGCGCTGATTTGGCCTTTGGCACCCAAACTCGTTTGGATTTCGGCGATCCCTTAACTGCCTTTTCCCTTTGCGTTTCTTGTGCTTTTCGCATAAGGGTCCGGGCATGCGCACGCAAGGCGCGGCGCTTCTGGATTCGCTCCTCGAGAGTAGAACGGGTTCTTTTGACACGAACCCATTTTTTCGTTTCTGCTTTGGAGGAGGGGTTGGTTGTTCGCCGTTGTTGCTCTTGGCGTGCCAGCTGACGAGCAAGGCGTTGACGCCGTCTTTGGCGTGCTC